TGATAACAAGAGATAGCGACTCTTGGCAGTATTTAAACTAAAAAATTTCCTGTTCATTAAGGGAGACCGTTAAGCTCTAGATACGAGACTTAGTGATGAGTTTATCGCTCTTCTTCCACTCACTCGCTGGGTGAATAGTCCAAATGTCTATCATTTTATTGACAAGCCCCAGCTACGTTGGGTTTGACCATGAATCTGTGGTCAACTTAATAGTTTAGGAAACATATGCCAATTTATTAAAATTCGATCCATGTTCTCAGTTGCAATGTTCATGAAGCAAAGTAGTAATCTGGTGAAGATCGATGAAAGCTCATCCGCGGTTTCTGCAGATTTGTCTGTAACCAATGAAGCCTGTTTGGATTGATGGGGACAACAAATCAAATAACGGAGAAATAATTATCATACTAAAGCCACTGCTTCCTCATCTAAAATAAGCTTTGTGTAGATAGCTTTGAAGACTTATTCAATTGTTACTAAAGAGAAAACTAGTGTTTTTGTAAACTTCAAAAATCCCGGTCCACCTTAGTCTGACTACTCAGGTTTCATCTGGCTGAATGACTGAGTTCACTTCCAAATACAATTATGAAAGTATTCGGAGTTCGCAGGGCGCGCCACGCTTTACAAAAGAAGTCAGACCCGATTTAAAAGCTGAAGAATCAAAAATGATTCTCCAATCCGCCTGCCGCTTCTTTCAGAATGCTGCACTGTCAAAGTCGAACAAAAAAGTATACGTCTGTGGGAGGATGCCGAAAGATGATAACACAGAAACGTTAATGCCAAGAGAACAAACTTTCGAAGCTGAAGACTCAGAGCGTTTGAAAATTTTATTTTTTTTCTTTTCTTTTTCTTGAACCAAATCAAGAACTCGCATTTGCAAATAGCTCTGAGCAGGGCAAGTAAAAAACTCAAATATGGAAGGATCTTATGTAGGGTAAAATTAGAAGTCAGTGTCAGCGACGCAACAGAGGATTATAAGAACAATATTAAGTGATAAAAAAGCGATTTCGAGTGTCTTGTCACAGAGTGTGGCTTTGTTGTAAAAGTCTGTCATTTTTTTCCTTCTTTAATGGTTATAATTTATTTTCCATTTTTAAATCTTTTTCGAAATTTCTTCTGCGTTCCAGTCTAAATTGATTTTATTTCATTGCCGTTTATTTCATATTTTTATTTCATATTGTTCCGCTCTTTCTGTTATCATTCTAAAATCTTCGTAACACCGTTTCCTAGACCAAAAACGGAAATCGTAATATTAAGACGTAATTGTCAACTTCTCCGAAATTTTCAAGGCAGTACACGAGATAAAAAAAGTTACTATTAAAAGTTACCAGACGGAGACTTTCGTTTTCACCTTAAAGAAACATTACAAGGGACAGGCAGTTGGTGGAAAGCGTAAGCGGCATCTTCAAAAGATGACGTATAGAAATTACATAAAAGATCCTCGTATGATCCGGATTAAGCCATTACTGCACCAACTTTTTATTCAATAATGCATTCTCGGCAATTTGGTTGACACTCAAACTTGTTTACTTAATCTTTTTCTTGTCCTACTATTTATTTTCTTTAGCATTCTTATTACTTTACTGCATCAAGCTTATCTTTCAATTGATATTCATTTTTCTGAGTTTTAGGCTATTACGAAACATGCGTTTGACAATTGTATTGTTAAAGATTAAATGTAAGATTAGGGCACTGTAAGAGGAAAACTACAGTAATTTTTGTCA